GTGATTGCTGGACATGGGCACCAGCAATCACTGTGCGAGGGGCGGGGTACACCCTGGACGGGTCGCAAGTCCCATCACAGGGACACATAGAGACAAACGAGACAAACAACCATTCACTCTCTCACTCACACCTAGAGACAATTTAGAGTTACCAATCAGCCTAACATGCATGTTTTTGGTCTGTGGGAGGAAACCGGAGTACCCGGAGAAAACCCACGCATACACGGAGAGAACATGCAAACTCCACCCAGAAAGGCCTCTGGACAGGGGTTTGAACCAGGAACCTGCTCACTGAGAGGCAGCAGCTCTACCAGTTGTGCCACCGTGCTGCCCATATATATATATATATATGATGATGATTATCCGATCAGTCGTATCCGACTTTCGGTCACTTTATGAATCTTCGAACTCCATGCCTCCCTGTCTTTCACCAATTTTTTCAATTCCGCAATTGGCATATTCATTGTTGTCGTTATTGTGTCGAACCATCTCGTTCTTTGGCGGCCTTGTCTTCTTTTTCCACTGACTTTTCCAAGCATAATTGACGTTTCCAAAGAATTTGCACGCATCACGTGACCAAAATAAGAGAGCTGCTGTTTGGTAATTTTGCCCAGTAAGGACATTGATGGTTTGACCCGGTCCAAAACTGTCTTGTTTGTCAACATAGCAGTCCAAGGTATTCTTAGCATTCTTCTCCAGCACCACAGTTCGAAAGCTTCGACTTTTCTTTTCTCTACTTTCCTAAGCGTCCAACTTTCGCAGCCATACATCATTATGGGGAAGACAATTGCGTTGACTAGTCTTACTTTAGTTACAAGGTTAATATCCTTGCTCTTCCAGAGCTTATCTAATCCCAGCATTGCAGTCCTGCTAAGTGTAATTCGTCTCTTGATCTCGGGAGCCGAAGCCCCACTGCGGTCCATTTTTGCACCAAGAAAGATAAAATCTTGGACAGACTCGATTACCGTGTTGTTGATTTGCGTGTTCATTATACCATTGCCTGCCGTGGTCATAACTTTTGTTTTTTTGATGTTCAGGTACAGTCCCATTCGTTCACTTTCCTTTTGCACACGTCGAACGAGGCAATCGAGGTCCTTTTCACTCTCTGCGAGCAGGGTTGTATCATCTGCATACCGAAGGTTGTTGATGTTTCTGCCGCCGATTTTGATTCCAATTTCAGATTCTTCCAAATTGCAACGCCTCATGATCACTTCTGCGTACAGATTGAATAGAACTGGTGACAGGATGCAGCCTTGACGAACACCTTTCCTGATTTGAAACCACTCCGTGTTCCCGTATGCCGTCCTAACCGTTGCTTCTTGGTCGTTGTAAAGAGATCTTATTAACTGTACGATGTGTTCTGAGACGCCCATTTGTGTCAGGCACTTCCATAGCTTTTCATGATTAACACAGTCGAAAGCTTTACTGTAGTCAATGAAACACATATAGACGTCCTTTTGATATTCCTGGGTCTTCTCCATGATCCAACGTAAATTTGCGATTTGGTCTCTAGTGCCGCGTCCCTTGCGAAAACCAGCTTGAACTTCCGGCAGTTCCTTATCGACAATCGTTGCAATGCGATTCTGTATGATCTTCAGAAGGATTTTACTTGCGTGAGATATGAGGGCGATAGTACGGTGGTTGGAACATTCCTGGGCATCGCCTTTTTTTGGAATAGTGACAAAGACTGATCTTTTCCAGTCCTTGGGCCACGAATTGGTGGACCAGATTTTTTGACATAGGTCTGTTAAAAGCTTAATCGGCACTGCTTTTAGTAGTTCAACAGGTAGATGGTCGATTCCAGAGGCTTTTCCGTCTGGTAGTTGTTTCAAAGCCCACTCGACTTCTTCCTCAAGAATGCATGGTTCTTGTTCGACCTGACATGCCTGTTCCATCGGTCCTATTTGATGGTCTGAGTACAGCTCTTCTGTGTATTCCCGCCATCTACGCTTGATTTGATTTTTGTTATGTAATAATTTTCCATCGTGGTCCTTGATGGCCGCTGCTTTGCGTGCTGCAAACGGTGCCCTGGTCTGTTTCACATAGGTGAAAAGAGCTCGTGTATGACCTAACTTGTTTGCTTCTTCCAGCTTTGCACATTGATTGTTCCAGTAATGTTCTTTGTCTTCTCTGGCTTTCCTTTGAAATATCGCATTTAGCCTTCTGAATTCTGTGCTGTTACCAATAGCTTTGGCTACTCTGCGCATGTTGGCGATTTGGATCAATTCGTCCGATATCCACTGAGTTCTTCTTCCTGGTTTTTTCAAAGGGACTATTTTTTCCGCTGTATTTTGTGTGATGGCTTTGATTTCCTCCCAAAGTTCGTCGGGGTCTTTTCCAATTGTGCAGAGCACTTCAAAACTTTTCTTGATTTCAACGGCATAAAGTGGAGGGATGTTACCTGTATCAAAGCAACGTGTTGCTGTAGGCTGTCTGGTGTTTTTGATGCGTAGTTTGATTTTAGCAACAAGGAGCTGGTGGTCTGAGCCACAATCTGCTCCAGGAGATGTTTTTACAGCCAATACTGAGCTTTTCCATCACTGTTGGCACAGGAAATAGTCGATTTGATTACGATACACACCATTTGGAGCTGTCCATGTGTATAGACGCCGCTTTGGTTGTTCGAACCATGTGTTCATGATTGCTAAATGATTTTCTGAACAACATTGAACCAGGCGATCGCCAGCGACATTCCGCTCACCCAGCCCGAATTTGCCAACATATGGACTATCTTCACTGGAACCGACTTTTGCATTAAAATCCCCAGTTATGAAAATGACATCCTTGGTGGGAGTCTGTTCGATTGCTTGTTGGAGATCGAAAAAAAAGTTCTCAATCTCTTCATCCTCCGCGTCGGTTGTGGGGGCATAGACTTGTAAAACTGTGATTGAGCGAGGTTTCCCATTGATACGTATGGCTATGATCCTATCATTTATTGCCTTGAAACCTTGAACAGCTTTGGTGACTGCCTTGGCCGTGATAAAAGCTACTCCTTTTCGCTTTATTCTATCATTTCCGGAATAAAAAACAGTGTAATCATCGCTGTTGAAATAGCCATTTCCTTTCCAGTGAAGTTCGCTGATGCCCAGAAGATCGATGTTAAGCCGTTGCATTTCCTTTTTTACAATTTCCAGTTTGCCCGTGTTCATGCCACGGACGTTCCATGTTCCAAAAATGTGGATTCTTGATAAGCGCAGACAGGTCCTTTCTCTTAGAGCTACATCAGCAGATAGGAGTCCTAATGGATTTGTCCTGCCCGCGTCATTAGTGCCTGAGCTACTCGAAACACTGCCTTGCTCTTCCCTGGTAGCTGTATGAGTACCTTCTGGCCCAGGGGTCCTGCCATCCGACACTATACGTGAGAGCGTTTCGTCGTGATCCATAGAGTATTTCGGCAAAAAATATTTGGAGTAGTTTGCCATTGCTTTCTCCAACCCTCCCCATTTATCCGGGCTTGGGACCGGCGTGCAGCTGTTTCCAGTTACACGGCTGGGTGTATATATATATATATATATATATATATAGGATAATATTCATAATATTCCCATTTTTCCTGTGCAGTACAATATTTTAAATAGTTACACTATTTGTAGACAGTATTTTGCAGATGGTAAACAGCAGCTTCTCTAAAATGCTTTTTTAATGATCTTTCCTTAGATTAATTTACAGTGATTTCTGGATTATAAGCTGCTACTTTTTCCACACACTTTGAACCATGCTGCACTGCTGCGGCTAATTTATGGATTTTTTTTTTTTTTTTTGACAGGCTAACGAGCTTCATACCGCCAAAACATTTATCCTCGTCACACCTCGGCGCTCACATAGCTGCTCAAAACACGTCTCTCTTGGGGGGTGGATCCTCGTGACTCATTGAGACTACCTGTATAAATAAAGGTTAAACAAATCTGACCAATGAAATTACTGAAAAGGTCACTGTCAAACCGATGAAACGGGGAGGGGAGGAGAGAACGGAGAGGGAGGAAATCCCCCATGTGCAGTCATGTGATTGGGAACTCCCATGCATGCGCAGAGCAACTTTGGCTCTGTGGAGTAGAGCTGTCATTTCTAACCCGAAACCTGGCCCACACCGACCCGAATTAGGGACAGGCTGTTATAATATGATTAATGGGCGGGCCGGGCTGGTCTCGGGCTTTTAATTAGGTCAGGATCAGCTGCGATCCAATTATGTGATAACATGCCCTGCCATACTTCCACCAGCCACATGCGGCCATTTCACCGTGAGCTGACCGGCCCTGAAAGAGGTAAAAAGCTCAATTAAGCTTCAGATGGGACTGTACTGCGTAGGCGTCGCAACCATTATATGTGAAGGGGCCAAGTCCCCCCCCCCCCCCACCGAAAACAAACGTTCTACTGGACCCCCCCACTTTTACTATGAAACATTAGTTCAGGCGGCGCAGTTTCTCTTTCTTCGTGAACAAATCCATTCCACTTGATTAATAGGAGAATACTCAAACCACTAAAACTCCACTCCAGGTTTTCCTGGTTACCTCCAACTCCACAGAGCAGAAACTGTGCAGCTGCAGCAGCTGCTGAGTCTCCTGCTTTGGCAGAAAATGCTCACAGGTGGAGGAGGTGGAGGCACCTATGTTAC